GGCCAACAACCGCCTGAGTGGAACATTTGATGGATGTTACTTTAACATTAACCGCCGGTATAAGTTCCATTTGAAGGCAGCAACTGGGTACAATGGTTGTGCCATTACATTAGTAGCAGTTTGAAATCTTATATTATAAAATGTATTATAGAGATAAAATAAATCTCACAGCATAACCAAGTCCTTTTCAGTCTCTTACATAATCTACAGCTGCTCATTCAAGGTAAACTGTCCATACTACTACATAGCATTAAGCCTGGTGTACCTGGGTGAATGGAGGAGGTCAGCTCAAAGCGGAACTGCAGCTGGCCACAGACATGATCTGTAGGCAACCTGCGACCTAAGGAATAACTTACTACTCGATCCCTGGGGACAACACAGAGACAGACGACAGTTAGAAAGGGTATGTAAATGAGAGAGAAGGGAGAGACTCGGTAAAAACATACAGTAAAAAAAAGAAAAGTAAAAATAACATAGTAGCTAAAATCAGACTGTTACATGGCTTTTAAAGCAGCTACAACCACCCACATCATTTACCTCACGGACAGCCTGTGTGGGCCAGTTTATGTAGGAGAACTTTTACAGATTGAACCACTGAGCTGACGACAGTCATGCTGCATTTATTTAAACAGGGAAAATCCTCATAAATGTGTTTTACCCGATGGCATGTTTTTCCAGCAGTCTCTGGACCGGGACCGAGAGCTTCCCCAGGAAACGCTTGATGATTGGTCTGCTCTTGGCAAACTTATCCTTCACCTCAATCTCCAGGACATCAGTGGGTAGGGACACAAAGTTAAACCTCTGGAGAAACAACAGAGGACAGAGCAATTTCTTGTTGGATGTGTGATATGTAACACAGGCAATCATTTACAGCATCCAGCGTTTAAAGCACTAACAGGCAACGTGAATTACTATAAAACCTAAAAAAAAGGGAAAAAAAGCAGGCAAAAAACTTGATCATCCAAATTTGGCATACAAGAATATATTACTAAATGAGATGCCAGAAATGACCATATTCTGTAGACTGACTTGGGTCTGAGTGTTGAATCTAAACCGGCACCGTTTTGTGCTTAAATGTGCCAATTCTTGAATTCTTTGCTCGCACTTACTCAAACTGCCCTAATCCATACACCTAAAACCAACACATATCTGGCAACCCTTGAACAGACCAGACCAGAGTCAGTGCCAGCACATCAATCCTCATGACTCACCAAGAAAACTGTGAAAACATGTTGGTTTGAGGCACGAGGCAAAGTAAAGTAAATGGAGTGCCTGCAGAATGAAGGGAGCAGAACACCAACAACCGTATACATATTTACACCAAAGTATATCATTTATGCATGTGACACAACAGCAACAACTTCATTATTTATTCATAAAATACAATGTGCGTTCTGCCACATTTCACACAGGTGAGACTTATTCAAACTAAAATCACTTTTTGCATTTGTAATTAAATATTATAGTTATTGGAATTAAGCAATACAATCATC